CCCATACCCCCCCTACCCCACCATACCCCGCTCCCTTGAACCCCCCTCGCCCCTCTGACCCTCACCCCCTCACCCCCTCCCTTGACACCTTCCCCCCCTCCCATAGCCCCAGACAAAGACAAACGACAGTCATTGAATTGACATATCTACGAAAACAAACAACGTAAACAAAAACATACAAACCATAAAGCGAAGGAGAGGAAGAGAAGAAGAAGACAAAAAAAAAAAAAAACTGCAAGAAAGGAAATTCAGGAAGACATATTGCGCCCATAATGGCTTTGCTTTGATGGGCGCGATGACGGGCGTGCGGGCGCTGTTGTCGCCTCTCTCGCCCTCGTCTCTTTTTTTTTCTTCTTCTCTCTCTCTCTCTTTCTGTCGATCTCTTTCTCTCTCTCTCTTTCTATCGATCTGTCTCTTTCTCTCTGTCTGTCTATCGTCTATTTCTCTCTCTCTCTTTCTCTCTCTTCTCTCTCTCTTCTCTTCTCTCTCTCTCTCTCTCTCTCTCTCTCTCTCTCTCTCTCTCTCTCTCTCTGTCTGTCTGTCTGTATATCTTCCATCTTTCTTCACCTCTGCTTTCTGTAATTTATTTCTCTCTCTCTCTCTCTCTTCTCTCTCTCTCTCTCTCTCCTCTCTATATAATATATCAATATATATTTATATATATATATATATATATATAATAATATATATATATGTTATATATATATATATATATATATATAATATATATATTTATTATATATATATATATATATATATATATATATTATATATACATATAATATATATAATATATATTATATATATATATATATATATATATTATATATATATATATTATATATATATATATATATATCCAATATATCCTTCATAAAACCACTCATAAAAACAAATATTCACTGATTATCTATCCATTTATCCGTGAAACACATCCTTTCTTTCTTATTCTCTCCGTCTCTTCCTGTCTATCCCTCCACTTATCCATTTCATCTTTACCTTTTATTTCTTCCTCTTTTATACCAACCATCTATCCCACTACCATCTTCTATCCCTTTATTCTTTTTTTTTATATCTGCTTCTCCACCTATCCAGCCTCTCTATCTATCCACTTATTCGTCACAGTGTTCATCTATTCAGCAGCCCATCCTTCCACCTATTCTTCTATCCACCCGTCCACCGTTCCACTCCTTCTTTTCCACTTCCTACATCCACTAACCTAGTCTTGATTTATTCTCCTATCCACCAATCCACTTGTGAATCTCTCCCTCTATCCATTAGTCCTTCTTCAGCCCATTTCTCCACCCAAGTTCTTGTCTATCAATCCACCTATCCACTCTATATCCACTTTTTAGACTCACCAGCTCATGCCTCAACCTATCCACCCGTCATTCTATCTTACCCTCCCATCCACCTCTCCATCCTATTCCGCCATCTCCATACCTCCACCTTCCTCTCACCCCCTCCCTCCCAGCCCTCCAACCTCAATCTTCCCTCCACTTCCCCACATTCCCATCCAAACCCTCCACCTTCCCTCCACCCTCTCTTTCCTCCACCCTCCTCATCCCTCTATCCTCCACCCTCTCATCCTCCACCTCCCATCCCTCCCCTTCCCCCACCCTCCCAATCCAGCCCTCTACCCTCCAATTCTATCCCTCCCATCCCTCACCTTCCTCCACCTTCCAATTTAATCCTCGCCTCCTCCACCCTTCCCTTCCCTCTCATCCTCCACCTCCATCCCTCACCCTCCATTCCAGCCATCTACCCTCCAATCTATCCTCCCATCCCGCCATCGTCCACCTTCCCTCCACTCTCCCCCATCCCCCCCATCCCTCACCCTCCCATCCCTCCACCTACTCCTCCCTCCGATCAACCTACCTCCTCCACCCTCCCCCCATCCACCCCCCATCCCCCATCCTCCGCAACAATACCATGTTAACAATATGAAACCAATACTGAGGTCAGTGCTGAGTCTGTTTCGGTCTTTTAAATAGTTTTATGTCGATTAAGCTCAGGCGGGCGGAGTGATGTGGAGGAAGGGGTGGGAGGGCGGAGGGAGTGCAGGTGTGGGGGTATAGGAGAGGGGAGGGGGACTGTGGGAAATGGAGGGGGGAGGGGGATTGGATGTGGAGGAAAGGGTGGGAGGAGGGGAGTTGGGGGAAATTGGAGGTAGGAGGGAGTTGGGATTGGGATGGGGAGGGAGCTGGTGGAAAATGGGAATTGGGGGAGGAGGGGGTGGGAGGTTGGTTGGGATGTGGTGTAGGAGTGGGGGAGGGTGTGATGGGTGATGTGAGGGAGAGAGGGAGGAAATGTTGGAGGAGGCGAACTCGGAGAGGGCAGAAAGAGGAGGAGGGATAGGGGAAGATTGAACATTAGAGAAGAGAAGGGGAAGTAGGGGGAGGTAAGGAGAAGGTGAGGATGTGGGGGAAAACTTTGATGAGACGGGGTCGTGAGGATAGGGGAATTGGGAGGTCATTAGTGGAAGGGGAAAGATAGGATGTGAAAAAACTGGGGAGGAGATGGGTAAGGGGAGAGGA